TTCGTGAGCTTCTCAACAATGAATTCTTTGAAGAATAGAACATTGCTTAAGGTTATTGTCCTTGGAGATAGCGGGTAATAATATTCTCCGATTTCTTTTCTTTTTTTTTTCAAGATTTTCGATACTTATTCTCTCTTATGTTCTTGATATATATTCAAGGCAGAATATTTCTTGCCTCTGTTTTTTTTTTTTGTTGGCCTTTTCTGAATCTTTATTTAATGCAGGGTAGGGAAAACTTCGTTGATGAATCAGTATCCTCTTTAAACCTCACTTTCAAATTTATAAATTGGTTAGGAAATTTAAGCCCTATATATCTCTGTATTAGATCTATATTTTTGTGGTAACCTTAACTTGTGACTTAAGATACGTGTACAAGAGATTTAACCGGCAATATAAGGCTACAATCGGAGCAGATTTCGTCACCAAGGAGCTTCATATTGAAGAAAAACCTGTCACGTTACAAGTAAGTCTATAAACCATCCCTTGTTTCAACAAATTAAACATTTTAATTTCAATGCCAAAATCTTATGAAACTCTCTTGTTTTAGATATGGGATACTGCGGGACAAGAGAGGTTTCACAGTCTAGGATCCGCATTTTATAGAGGTGCTGATTGTTGCGTTCTTGTCTACGATGTGAACAATCTCAAGTCTTTTGAAACTCTCAATAATTGGCACATGGAGTTCCTCAAACAGGTTTTTTGCCCTAATCATTCCTTTTCTTGCGCGAGAAGTAATAGTCACCGCCCATGTTTGTTTTCGCAAGTCTAATCGATTTGATTCCATTTATTGATATCTTCCAGGCAAATCCATTCGAACCTGAGACATTTCCTTTTGTTTTGATCGGGAACAAGACCGATGTAGATGGCGGAAATACCCGAGTTGTAAGCACGATTCATCTAAATCTCCTTTTTAGACCATCAAAATTAAACCCTAATTTCCGCAACTTCACTTATGCAGGTTTCAGATAAGAGAGCCATTGAATGGTGTGGCTCAAAGGGAAACATACCATACCATGAAACCTCTGCAAAGGAAGACATCAACGTGGATGAAGCTTTTTTGGGTGTTGCACACAAAGCTCTCACCAATGAACGTAAACAAGACAACATGTGAGTTACTATATCGAATTTGATTCATAGATAGATCTCACTCGATCTTAACATTATTTCTCTAACTAATATATTTAGCAAAACAAAAAAAAAACATTATTTCTCGAACTAATGTTTCATGGTTTTTGGTCATTGAATTTGCAGATATTTCAGAGACATATCTGCATCTGTTACAGAGATGATTGAGGATCAGCCAAGAGGTTGTGCTTGCTAATTCATATTTAACATTTCTTCGACTCCAGCTCTTTTGTTTTCAATTTTTATTTATTTATTGTTTATATAAATTATAATAGAGGTTTCTTAACCAAAAAACTGATATATGCTACGTTCTGAGTGTTTTGATTCATGTATAGCATTTTTATTAAATTTATATGAAAGTTTTGTGATACATTCATACAATCACCGAATCACTCGGGTTTTTTTCCGACCTATATTATTACATTTGATTTTCTCTTTTCTTTTTAAAGGTGAACTTTTATGCTTGAGATGTAGAGATAAGAAAGGAAAACAAAAAACAATAT